TGGGCGGCACAAACTCTGCAGGCTCTCGTAGGAAATTTTTTCTTTCCACTCGCTGGAATACACGTAGGTTCATGCTGCTTCATATCACCTGACAACCTTTTGGGTGGATCTTTACGAGGTGCTCTCCTTGCACCCCCAGGGGAAGGGCTGGACAGATTTGTCTCTGGTTCCGGAGAGCCTTCATTATTGTCATCTGTTACCCAGTCTCTCGCCACCAATAGCAGAAACTGTTTATACTTCATTTTTGCTTGTGGATTGAGGACGTTGTACACTCTAAATGAATTGAAAAGTCCACAGTTTATAAGGTACAGCACTACTTTTTTTGTCCATTTCATCGTTTTCCTTAGAATGGAACAACACGAAAGGAGTGTATCAGTCTCGTTGGTTTCCTTCCTTTCTCTGAGAGAGGGCATTTCTAAAAGTGCCAGGAACTTGAAGATGAAGACTATTCGAATGACCAAAATACAATGTAACTGCAATGCTTTATGGGTTCGTGCAATTATATAGTTTTTCGTAGATTGACCTGCACAGTTTCCACCAATGAGATCGCTTCATTCGATGTGGACAAGACAGTGTGTTGACATCTAAGGTCCATAACAGATGGCGCGTGAAAAACGAGAAAACTCGTGAGCAGTAGGAAGGTGTTAATAATATATTCACATTTTAAGGGATATTGAAAATAAAATACAAAACTTATTCAATTAATAGATTCAAATCTATCCTCTAGATTTTTCATACAAGGCAAACTTAGATTAATATTTCAGTACTAGTGGCCTGGTGCACAAAATTCATGCATAGGAGAGAGGGTGTCCATCAGCCCAGCCCACACTCTCTGCAATTTGGGACCCCTCAGGGGATGTCCAACCGCCAGTTTAGTCAAGATCAGGCCAGCAGTCAAACATCCCTCTCACAATCCAGGACTGCTGGCTCCTAACCACTCGCCTGCCTGCCTGCCTGATTGCCCCAAACCACTCTGCCTGCTGGCCTGATCACTCCCAACTGCCCCCTCCTGCTGGCCTTCTTGCCTCCAAATGCTCTTCCTGCCAGCCCACTCTCCCCCAAATGCCCACTCTGCCAGCCTGATCTTCCCCAACTGC